GGAAAAGAGCAATCTGAGGGAAGAGAGCCATGTGCATCTGCTAAGAAGGCGAAGTATATTGAGACAAGCGCTGAAGAGGCTGGGGCAAGTGCTAATGTGCAGAAGGGCTGGAGCAGGCACTGAAGTGCCAGAACACCAAAGAAACAGGCACCGAAATGATACTGAAGTGGACTGGAGTGCTCAAGGCAAAGACCTCATAAGTTAGGTAACTGCTTTTGGACTAACTGGAAGGGAAGAGATTACTAAATGCAAGGGATCTCATTTGGGGGCTGCTGGAGTGGTGGAGACATGCAGGATCTGCTTAGGGATCTCCCTTGACTGCACTGGGACCATAGGCTAGTTTCAGACACCAGGTTAGGTCTGTAGTGCTGGCAGCTGGAAAAAACATGCTGAGGCCCAATCCACTGAAGTAAATGGAAGTTTTGTTAGTGCCTTTAATGTAAGCAGTGTTTAATGAAGGACCAGGCTCCTGTTTTGTAAGATGAGCAAATGTGACTCAAGAGTTATTGATTAAGTAATAATGTTTGATCGCAAAAGTCATCTTCTGGCAAGTATTGACTATCTGGAGGAGCCGAGAACCCCAGGTGAAAGTCACAGCCTTTAATCCAGCCAGCAATTAACTACTAGAGTCATTACCATTAAAAACATTAAATGTATAAAAGCTGGAATACCAAATAAAAACCAATTACTATTTTATATGCTAAGCAACTGAATGGCAGATAGCTATGAATGTGGGACTGTTAACAGTACTGGCTTTTTTCCTAACAGTTAAATCAACCAACTGGAAAGCAGGACTTCATTCTGCATATACTGCTAGGTTTATAATTAAGAGTTAATATGGAACACAGACACATGGTTTTTACAAAATCCTTTTCCTGACCATAACTACATTTTAAGCCTTTCACAGGATGCTGATATGTATTTATGAAATTGAAAAGCTAGCATCATACATAACAGCACTGCAATATTAATAGTGCACTACTGTATTTTATGCTAGGGTAAGATTAAGAAGGGCAGCAATTGCTTATGAGATTACATAGGGTATATGATTAAACACCTTATTGAGATTAATATTATTGCTCCAACTGTGTGTTAGTCTGAGGTTAAATGAGAACATTTCTGACACAGAACAACCACCTGATAAATAAACAGGAAGATTGACACAACCATCTCCCAAGCAGCGGCCAAACAGATCTAATCTATCAGCAAAGCATACGGGTTTTGACTGCAATTCTGAAGCTGGAGGCAGAATTTTAAAGGATGTTAAAGCTCATTTGTTGCAAAATACTGTATGGCAGCTGTATCAATAACTCATTTAAGGAGATGCTGCTTACAAAGAAAGGCTCTTTTATCACAAAGGGCCACCTGGCATGGAGAAGTTAATGAGATCCTAGAGGATTTTCAAATAAAAGGTTAACATCTATTTGACAGTGGAAGAATATCTCTTGATAATTTACATTAAACACAATCCTTTGCTGTACATTCACATACAGTTGCTCAGCATTTGCTGGGAGTTTTATTTTTTAAAGGATGATGTTCCTTCTAGAACAGATTGATGAGTAACACAAATAGATTGTTTCATGAGTCAAAATCCTCTTCTAGTCCCCGTTAGGAATCTGAAATTCCTGACATCTGTACATTCTGATCTTCTATAGATAGTTATATTTAAGCCCAAAGAAAAAGGGTGCATCTTCTGAGAAAAACACAGCAAGAGTGACAGATTTAAGCATAAATTCCTGAAGGGGGAAAAAGCAAATAGTACAAGAGCATTATCACTTCTGATACGGGCTCTTAATAAGCGAGTCAGCTAAAATAAATTGCATTTCCAGAGGAATTCCTTGATAATATATTTTACCAAAGTAGTTTCTGAAGGTCTTTCTCAGGGCTCCCAGGAGCCGTGTGTTAATAACTGATGAGACGGGTTGGGGTTGAGTTCCCTGCCTCTGATGAAGCTTACCTCATGTTAGATACTGCCAAAAAACACCATGGCCAGATATGATGAATCCATGGGACTCACAAAAATACTTCCAAAGAGTAAATGTTTTGCCTTTGGAATGAACCAGGCAACACTCAGCATCAGAGGGGTTGGACTAGATGACCTCCTGAGGTCTCTTCCAACCCTAATCTTCTATGATCCTATCAAACATCCCTTCATACTCCACCTTCCATGTTTCAAATTACATAAACTGAATGCTATGCGTGGTGTATTTTTCCCTCCTCTGTTGTACTTGGGGAAGAATAATCTGTCACAGCTCTGCCTACTCTTTCCCCTTTTCTGCCAAGGGGATCTCAGAGGAATACATGGCAGTGCACTCCCCAGACCACTGAGGCTGTACTTTTGCCATCCTTACATGAATCATACAAGGTGGTGGAGAAAGGCTCCTTACTCCCTCGCCCTCATGTATGTGGTCTTGTGAGGAGCAGCTAGACCACAATCAAGCCTGTAATACATATAGTCTAAATTATCTCTTGTGGTATTGTATCAGTTTTTAAATCACTTGCATCGGTTTTCAGTTTGAGTGAACATTCTCTGTAGGAACTACCTGTTAAGGAAGTGATCATAAGCAGGTGTCCAATGAGTTTTGACATCTCATCCCACTGTGAGTTATTACCTTCCCTTGTCTCAAGCTGCACATCTGAGTTTCTCGCTGTTAGACTGAAGGGTCTCTTTTTATAGATTCCAGATGTTTGTGGCTAACTGAATTCAAGGCCCATTTTTGGACTGCCTGTGTAATCCATGCATGAGTCACAGCAGTGAGTTGTCACCGCTGTCTCCAACCATGTACTATAGAACTACTCTCTTCCCTTTCTTTTGTAGTACAGTACATTCTACTCTGTGAATCACCTTTAGGTAAAAAATAGGACAGATGATGACTCTGTGTTCACTTAATAACAGAGAATCGAGAATAGGCATCCCACAATTACAACACCAGGTTTAGTGGCATTGTAACAAACTGCACAAAAGGAAGCTTGAATGGACAATGGTATCACTGGAACTATGGGATACCTCATAATTATCAGCTATAACAAAATTAATAAGACCACTGAGTAAGCATTTAGTAATAAAATATGAAACTTCAAAGCTCAAGTTTAGTCCCTTACTCCTGGGATAGCAAAGGACATGGTTGGGCACTGAGCCCAGGGTCTTGTGTCCTACCAAAGAGTCCCCTCTCACCCACTTGGGAGCTGTACTATGGGCTCTGAAAGGAATCTTATCCAGACAGTTCATCAAGAAGAGCAGTTATCTCTAAGGTTCCACTCCTGCAAAATGCTTAACTTTACACTCATGAGTCGACCCATTGACATCAATGGGATGATTCACAAGCTTAAAATTAATCATGTGTACGTGTCTGCAAGGTCAGGGCATAAGTTGGGCGACAGAAAAGTGCCCAGAGTATTCCTGGAGGGAAGAAAACACAAACAAAACCAAAACATCTTTTAAAAAAATACTGTGTGTGAGAGAAAGGGTGTAGTATATGAGTGTATACAGCTTGTTTACTACACAACGGCAGGCGAGGTCCAGAACTGACTAAGCTTTGGGTAATCACCACTAGAAGTGCATCAAGCTAGCTTTTTCTTTACTGGAGTTCTGCGTGTGGAGGATTCGCTGGCTCAGGCCCAGAATTCATGGGGGTGTGATCCCCTGCTGATTCAGAATGATGTCAGAATTGCACATGAGTACTTTTATTCTATGTCTGCTTAGAGTAGTTGACAATTTATTAAACAACATATGGTACATTTTAAGTGAAATAATGAGGTAGTGGAATTATCATGGGCCTGATTCCTGTCTCCCTAAGTATAAATCAGGAATAATGCAATGGAAATCATTGGAGATTGTCACAGGGTCACCACAGGCTTCTTCCCTCTTGAGCCTGCACCCTGTGTCTAGGCTGGTATCATAAAGAACCTTCCATGCCTTCTTTTGCTGGATCACCCAGTGTCTTTATTTACAGTGCTCATGCGGTTCCCAGATTCCCCAACAGCTAGTGCCCCATAGACCCTCCCCAGGGTCTCCTGGCTTTTGAGGCTTCCTTCTTTGGTAAGGAGACAGCAATACCACCCTCCTGTCTCTTCCCAGGCCAGCATCCCCACTGAGGTTTGCCCAGGGCTTTTATAGCCCTCTCATGCCTCAGCCCAGCTGTCAGTACTTAGCTCAGCATGTTCCTCTGAGCCAGCCCTCATTAGGGCTTGCAACTGGGCTCCCTGCTAAATACCTGTGTCTCTTCTCCTGGCCAGTGAGCAGGCTACAGCCAGCATTTTGGCAGGGCCTTAAAGGGGTTTACCCCTGCTCTGCTACAGAGATACACAACGGGTGAGATTAAAAACAGGCCTAAATGTTGCAAATGGTGGAAGCATTTTAAGCTTTATTACAGTATAATGCAAGGGAGGAATTTTAGCTAATCATTCTCCTCTCACACTGGCATGATGCATGTCCAACCTCTCATTTCCTTTCTTCACAAGCTTGAAGAAATATTCATACTTTCACTTCTCGAGTCAATTACTCATCTTACCCACATCTCCGGAACATACCTGGCAAAGAAGTGGTCCAAAGCTTTCAAGCCCTTACAGTATTTTCTCTCTCTTATTTTTTTTTCCAGTGATATGTTGAATAGCAACAGTCTCTGTTGTTTTATAGTGTACCCACTATGCATAGCTTTTGAGATTGAATAATTGCCAAAGCAAAGCTGAGGTTTTTAATAATTTTCAAAAGTCATTTTGGCCCTGGTCTTGCAAACACTTAAGAACATAGGTCACTTTTCTCATGTGAATAGTCTCATTGTAGTAAAAAAAAAAAAAAAAAAATCTGCTCATGTTCATATTACTCATGAGCTTAACTGTTTGCAAGATCAGAGCCTTAGCATACTCAGAATACTAAATATACTATAAAGCAGTAAAGACCATCCCTTAAATATAAAAAGGAACTACAAGATGTGTTTTTTCCCCGTTAGACACCCCCACATTTTTCATCATCAGAGAATATTTGTCTACATAGTACTTACAGGAGTGAAGTAAGTTGTTGGGAATCTTTGAACTGCAGAGCGAAACATAAATTGCCTGAGTTTTGAAAAAGAAGCAATTAAGGTCATTTGAGACACACTCTTACTGCTACTTACAGTTTCACCAACCGTTTCCACCTGCTTCTATTTCAGTATAAGAAAATGTATCTGTCGTTCTTCTCAATAGGCAATATAACAGAAGTCATTCTGTACTGGTGAAATATACTGTGAAACTAAGGGACTTAACCGTATCTTTCCCTAGGTATATAGAGAAAGATAGCTAAACCACTTTTATTAATGATAATTCACTACTGCTACTATCTATAAAGAGCCCTATTTACAAACTCAAATGATGTAGGTATCTTAATTCATGTTTAGGCACCTGCAGATGGAAAAGGACTGTTTTTCAGAGGCACTGAGTACAAACAACTCTCGCTGGAATGAGTATTATGGCCCTGATCCGGCAAAGCACATAAACTCATGCTTCAGACCCTGAAGTCTATAGAACTGAAACATGTGTTTAAAGTCAAGTACATACTTATTGCATGGGGATGGGCTTAAGCATGTGTTTAAATGCTTTGTCGAATCAAGGCCCTATCACAGAGATGGGAGTCAGGACACTGACTATGGGGCTGATTCATTGAAGTTAATGGGAGATTTCAGTGGGCTTTGGATAAGACATAAATGGGAGTTGTAGGTGCACAGTAGCTCTGAAATTCAGGTAAAAATGCATGAAAATAAAACAGTCTAAGCAAATGAGAAGATAAGAACATTGATTTACTTACTTGGATGCAAACTTGGGCACTGGAACAGGGAAAAGATTATACTGTCCTGGTGCAGTGTCAATATCCTGGAAGGAATGGGTAGTATAGACAGGACAGTGACAGGTAATCAAGGTTTGACTTCATATTACTGATTTCTTCACTAACATCTGCAGTCGCAGACACAACTCTCATTTAAATCAACAGGAAAGATATGCATGTACCTGAGGGTAGAATTTGGCTCATATACCAGGCCCATCATTTTGTATTGCTATGTTTTAAGGGTCTGATCCTACTCAGCTGTAGCTCCCAATGAAGCCAATGGCATATAGAACCTTTCATTTAAGGAGCTAAAACCTCATTATGATTGATTAAGCCTTGCAACACCCCTCTGAAGAGCAGAAGAATATTTATACCCACTTAAACATAAACATTTTTTAGAGTAGGATGCTGAAAAACTAGATTTAAATTATGTGGTTAAATTTTCAGATGTGGAGGGAACAGATGCATTCGTGAATACAGGTGTGCACAGCTGCAAAACCTCCACAGCGGCTAGTCCAAGCAAACCCATTATGTTGGTGCCCCCAGCCAAAAGACTCAAAGTTCATATGCAACTTACTCTTACTCTCTCTACCCACTCCACTGAAACTACTATGTCGTGCCAATTAGTGAGAGGGTTCAGACAGAGGATGAAGACCCTTCCCCTGGCAATTGCAAAGGTCAGAGGAAGAGAAAGAAAGAGAGCCTACACTCAGTGTTCTCATCCACTAGACTAGGTAACGTTTTGTTTGTATTATAAGCCATTTTAGGAACATGAACCCTGTTCCTTCTTCCCCTATGGCAGTTCTGCAGACTTCACTGAACCTGGAGATTGCAGGTGGCATGAATAATACATGACCAAATGGCGGCCAGGATCTTCTGAGGGCCATTTGAGGGGTGCAGAGCTCTTTTATAGGGGAAGCCCCTCTTGGCCTCCTTTCTGCCCTAGGTAAAGAGCTGGTTGATATAGAAAGGAGAGACCGAAGTCCCAGTGACAGCTATATCACTCATTGGAATCTTGAGGGGGGCTGGGAGCCATCTAAAAAGTCTAACCCTTTCCTATATTTGTTGCAGGATTAAGGTATCTGACAGGAACAGGCTAAGAAGATCAAAGTGGCTGGAGCCTATCAATCAACCAGGATCAGCTGCTTTATATACCGAGCAAAATGAGGGGGGGAAGGCTGGACATAGAGAAGGAAGTTCTTATTCCAGACTGCACTAGACTCTAAAGGTTTCTTCTTACTCAGTGACTGTTTATACTCTGGGAGGACTAGTGGGTGGGTCTGAAAAAGCCTAGCCTGTGATAATAGCACTCAGGGCTTGTCTAGTCTGGGATCAAAGGTACATTTTTAAAATATGACACTAAAACCATATAAAATAATAAATTTTAAAGTTCTAGACAGGGCAAATTGTAGTCAATGTGTGCAAGCTGGGAGAGGTGACCTTAAGCTCCCCCTTATCTTTTTTCATTTAGAGATAGCTCTGACCACTATTTTGTTTTTACCTTATCTTTAAAACATAAGGTGTTGGGACTTTTCCTTGGTGTGCTTTTAAATGAATATGTAGCTGGCTTTTTTCCTGCCAAATCTACAAAGCTAGGAGGAATATATGTATAAACATCTGGTAGCGTAAGATCAGCTGTTGGTTGGAAGATGGAACATCTCTTTCTGCCTTCTCCTTTAAAATTATATGTCGCTTTCACTGGGTTGAGCTGGGCTTCTTCAATAAAATCCCGTACTATATAAGTACCTGGCGTAGGTGTTGGCTAGTAAAAACAAACATAATTTAGGCTGAGATTCTTGTGCAGTTCTGCATTTCTACTAAAAGTGTATTTGACATGCTATTTTGAACTGGCATTTGTCTTTGTTTTAATTAAATCCAGTCATTCAACGCCTGACATATGCTCACATTTCAGAAGTTATTGGATCCTGGTTATTTCATCTGTGAAATGGTTAATGACAAATATTTCTTTTTCTAAAGAAAATAATTAAAACAGCCAATTGAACTATCAGCATGATGTTCTAACATGTAAGCTACCCACAAGAAGCATCTTGTTCTTGCTCAGAAAGACCTATGCCCAAGAGCTGCAATCAAGCCTCCAACTTAAATTGCTGTAACAACAAATTTCTACATTTCAACTTGATTGACAAGATAGTGACTGCTTCCTCACTTCAAGGGACCAAACCACAACTGAACTGGAACACACCATTTGAATTACTGTTTTCATCTTCGCTTTCTACCAGTGAAAACATCGTACAGAAAAGCAGGAGGAAAAAAAGATACAAAAAATATTGTGGCTACAGAACATTTTGCTGTCAGTCCTGCTATAAAATTTAATGGCGTCAGATGTGCTTCTCAGTGGAAACTGCTGATTTGCTTAGGGCTTTCTTCAGCTGCAAATTACCCCTGTGGCTGCTGGCCTACAGAGGCTCTCTGAGTATTTTGCACTCCACAGCCACAGAGACTATTCCAGACTGCAAGAGGTTTCTTCTCACTCAGATGCGGCTGAAAGATGAGGATTTTGGATTTACCCAGATGCCCCGAATCTGCTTCTTTCTCAACATATTCTCTGTATTTTCAGAAGTGCTAACATGGGAAAATAAGTTGTTCCTTGCTGGGGGGTCAATCAAGAAAGACATTTTAAAGGGCTTGTGTTTATGAAGGCTTCTCCCTAACTGGCAGCTCCAAAATCAGTTGTTTTTGTAGTGTGGATTCTGCCTTTAAAAAGCAAAGTCATTTTAGACCTTACCTATGATGGGCAAATACAGTATACTAGAACCTTTAGAAAAAGAACCATCTTTAAACATAGTTCATGCTACAAAAAAATTAACAGAGCTAGGCTGGGGATGGAGTAGGAGGTGGAGTGGAGCTGAGGCTGGGGCCAGAGCTGGGCTAGGATGGAGCAGGGAGGGGAGCTGAGGCTGGGGCCAGAGCTGGGCTGGGGGCAGTGAAGAGCAGTGGGTGGGGCTGGAGCTGAGCTGGGGTGGAGGGGAACTGTGGCTGGGGCCAGAGTTGGTTGGAGCGGAACAAGGGGTGGAGCTGGTTGGAGCAGAGCAGGGAGGGGAGCTGCAGCTGGGGCCAGAGCTGGACTGGGGGCAGTGAAGAGCAGTGGGTGGGGCCGGAGCTGAGCTGGGGTGGAGGGGAGCTGTGGCTGGGGCGGAGCTGGTTGGAGCGGAGCAGGGGGCTCTGCAGCTGGGGATGGTGCAGAGCTGTGGCAGGGGGCAGAGCGGGGCTGGGTGGTGCTCCCTCCCTTCCCCCTCATGGGGGCTGGCTGAGGCCCCACCGCACGCCCTCCTGAATGTTCCACTCCACCTCCCTAAGGGGGGCGCACCCCACAGTTAGGTTGCTCTAGGACATCCAAAGAGTAGAAAAGTCATTTATACATACACTCACAATTCTAACATAAAACAGGGTGGACACTCATAGAGCAGTTGTGGTGATATATATGAAGAATTCTTTAAAAATCTAACATTCAATTCCTTTGTGAACGGATTCCAAGTTATAATTATAAAAAGTCATATATTTTTAATCCATTAAGAAACTTTAGTTCTACGCACAGGCCATTCAAAGCCCATTGAAATCAGTGGAAAGATTCCCATCGACTTGAAAGGGCTTTAGATCAGGCCCCCTATGAATGTCTAGATTATAATTTCCCAGCTCTATCTGAATTAATTAATTTCCAGCAAAAGACTCTTCCATTCCTCCACCCCTTTGGATGCAGCTGGCATCATTCAAAGGTTTCTGAGTAAGTCAAGCAGTGAGCTCTTGAAAAAAAGATTCCAGTGCTTTTTTTGAAGGGAAAAATGAACATGTTTACAATCCCTGAAGGTTTAAACAACCTAGAAATAGAAATGAATGATGGAGAAGGATTAACCCACCCTTTCTGGGCTGGCCATTCACCCAGTGCCTGATGATTATTAGAGCATGTGGATGTAGCTGGGGGGAGCTTGAATAGCTCCTCCTTTCGTGTCTTCTTTTGTTTTAATATTAAGCTTAGTTTATTGTACTTGTTATATTACATGGCATATCAACAATGTGAAAGGACCAGCCCTCTGCCCCAGAGGCTAGGGAGCTGGCAGGAAATCCTACCACTACCTCATGCTCTTCTCAAACTGGAGGAGGGGGTGCCTTTCAATAAGGGACTGCATGTGCTGCGTGTCAGCTCAGGGGCTGCTGCTGCAAGGAGATAGCAGGCTAAAAGTCTGATTCACGGCTGGGGACCAGATGCAGGGGCCAGCCTGTCTCCATGGCCACAATGAGCTTTCACAGCACATGATCATAATCTGTCAGGGCCCAAAGGGAAGAAGGTGCTGTGATCAGTGACTGAGGGACTGATGCTGGAAGGGGCACTGGGCCTGTTCACAGAATCATAGAAGATTAGGGTTGGAAGAGACATCAGAAGATCATCTAGTTCAACAACCTGCTCAAAGCAGGACCAACCCCAACTAAATCATCCCAGCCAGGGGTTTGTCAAGCTGGGCCTTAAAAACCTCTAAGGATGGAGATTCCACCACCTCCCTAGCTAACCCATTCCAGTGCTTCACCACCTTCCTAGTGAAACAGTGTTTCCTAATATCCAACCTAGACCGCCCCCACTGCAACTTCAGACCATTGCTCCTTGTTCTGTCATCTGCTACCACTGAGAACAGCCTAGCTCCATCCTCTTTGGAACCCCTCTTCTGCAGACTAAATAAGCCCAGTTTCCTCAGCCTCTCCTCGTAAGTCATGTGCCCCAGCCCCCTAATCATTTTTGTTGCCCTCCGCTGGACTCTCCAATTTTGCTACATCCTTTCTACATTGGGGCCCAAAACTAGACACAATACTCCAGATGTGACCTCACCAGTGCTGAATAGAGGGGAATGATCACTTCCCTCGATCTGCTGGCAATGCTCCTACTAATACAGCCCAATATGCCATTAGCTTTCTTGGCAACAAGGGCACACTGTTGACTCATATCCAGCTTCTCGTCCACTGTAATCCCCTTTTCTGCAGAACTACCGCTTAGCCAGTTGGTTCCCAGCCTGTAGCAGTGCATAGGATTCTTCCATCCTATGTGCAGGACTCTGCACTTGTCCTTGTTGAACCTCCTCAGATATCTTTTGGCCCAGTCCTCCAATTGGCCCATATTGTCTAGGCCACTCTGGACCCTATCCCTACCCTCCAGCGTATCTACCTCTCCCCCCAGCTTAGTGTCCTCTGCAAACTTGCTGAGGGTGCAATCCATCCCATCATCCAGATCATTAATGAAGATGTTGAACAAAACCGGCCCCCAGACCGATCCCTGGAGCACTCCGCTTGATACCAGCTGCCAACTAGACATTGAGCTGTTGCTGATAAAGGTGATTGTTTGTTACTGACAGCAGGGTTGGAGTGATCCTGCGTGAGTGCCTGGCTCCTGGAAGGCTGTAGGAGCAGTCCCCATCCCACAAAGAGAGGTGGGAGTTTGGAACTAACTACCACAGAGCAGTGCCCCCACAATAGTGAATACCCATTGGAACTATAACATGGGCTTACAATTATTATATTTTATTAGGTCAATAAAACACTAGTTGGGGGGGTGGGGGGAGAGAAAACCTGGATTTGTGCTGGAAATGGCCCAACTTGATTATCATACACATTGTAAGGAGAGTGATCACTTTAGATAAGCTATTACCAGCAGGAGAGTGGGGTGGGGGGAGGTATTTTTTCATGCTTTGTGTGTATAAAAAGATCTTCTACACTTTCCACAGTATGCATCCGATGAAGTGAGCTGTAGCTCACGAAAGCTTATGCTCAAATAAATTGGTTAGTCTCTAAGGTGCCACAAGTACTCCTTTTCTTTTAACATATTCATGGCTACTAAGGCCCAATATTGCAAATACACGCAGTGAGCAACTTTAGTGAAGTCAGTGGGACTATTCCTGTGTGTAACATTACACAACTGCTTGCAGGATTGGGACTTAAAACAGTGGGTACATAGTGACTAGTGTTCCAATAACAATTACAATTTTGCATAACTGACATAATGCTAAGAACAATGAGAAAAAGTACTGAAAAAATATGAGCTAAAATATGCATACTCTAAGTGAGAATCTCCACCATGTATCTCTCTGTCCCAAAGATGCTACTTTTTCTCTTTCCTTCTCCAAGGTCTGTTAAGAAACAGAGATTAATTGAACAGCATCCACATATTTCTACAATTGTTCCTTTAGGCTGAATATGACAGTTTATAACTTATAATTATACTTTGAGATATACAGTCTATCTAAACTGTCATCCCAAACACATAACTTCATCACTTGAGACAGAATTAGCTTACGTTTAAAGATTTCTTTTAGAGTAGTTCTGTGTTAAACTAAATATTATTTTTAATTGAACGTTTTTGTATTACCGAATCGTTGTAGGAACTTTCCAGTTATATGATCTGAATTAGAATGAAAACTATCCGAGTGTCTACTAAGACATGAGAACTCATGATGGGAAGAGAGTTTTAAAATGGGTACAACATCTGTGAGCGTAAAGGAGATTACTAGCAGAATCTCTTTGGTAACTTATTTAACTTTCCCAGTGGCAGAAATGAGATAATGGTCAACCCAAGGATGATAAAAATGTAGTGGAGGGGCAATCTCCTTGTCCATACAACAGTTGAAACCATGTTAGTTAAACAACATGTTGTAACAGTGCTGTGGGCATTAGCTGACCTATTGTCTGAAAACCACATTATAGTTATGTTATAAGCCTGTACTATAGACAAGGCCCTTCATTTCTGATTTTTACTGAAAAATTCCTGGGTTTTCCGAAAGCTATTATTGGGAGGTATTATTACACTGATTATATTAAGAAAATTCAGGTAGATGTGTTCATTAATAATAAATTAGTCTAACTATAAATGCAAGGCTGTCTGTTAAAGTAAGGCAATATAGTGGGAGACACACACAAAAAGCTGCATGCACGTGTGTATGTGTCTGTTACTGCTTGAGTCCTAAGGAAAAAAAAAAAAAAAGGCTAGAACTCCCTGTACACTGCTCCCCACTCAGGAAAGACAACTGATGGCTCAGTATCTGGAGCCAGGTCAGAAGTACACTCACTTTTCTCTATTTATTCCTCCCCCTCCCCCGTCTTCCCATCCCCCAGTATTTACCCAGAAGACGACAAAGTTAATTTTTTATGCAAATTTTCACCCATTTTTAAATTTTTGTAATAAACATTCAAATTGCCATAGAATTTTTTTTAAAAAAAGCTGAAAAAGAAGGCTATGGAATGCCTACGGGGTGGGGGGTGGGCAGAGGGGGAGGAGAGGCAGTCTAGCTCGGCTAGTAGGGGGAGAAAAAAGTACCCGCCACACTGTTCAGAGGAGCTGTGCTACCAAGAGCTGTTTTCAATCCTGGTTGCTGTTAGTACGGTTTTGACTTTAATATGGGCTGGCTTGTACAGACACACAGACTGATTTTTTTCAAAGGAGCCTAAGGGGAGGTAGGTGCCCAAACCTGATTGAAATTCAATGGAAGGTGGGTCCCTAATTCCCTTTGTCGTCTTTGAAAATCCCAGCCTTACTGGGCACCATGCTTCTCCACTATTTAAAATGAATTTGTCTTGAAGAGTTTTTATACCACCAATGACATTTTAAATACTATTTGTTGAGAATCTTATTAAACTCATTCACTTTTTCTGCATGTCCCACCACTGCCGACTGCCAAACTGTTTCCTACCTGATTCCTTCTATAAAGCTAAGGTACCTGTGACTGCATGAGTCAGTAGTGGGGGTCCAACTAGGATGCTACAAACAGTGGATTGTGAAGTTGTTAAATGACCCAGATAGAATAAGCAGACTGATTACAAAGAAGCTTCTGTTTCTATGCCAATGCCTTTGAAATAAAAAATAAGACAGAATGGTGTAAAACACAGCTACTTTTGGCTTGACTGTGGCTTTGACCTTGCAAAACCCGTCTCGTTATGAGTTTGAAGGATGTGCTACAGGAGATCTTGTCGGGATGGGTGAAATTCATCCCTGTGCAGAGGACTAGAAAAAGGTCAATACATCACTGAAGTCCCACTTAAGCCCGCAGGGACTTCTATTTAAAAGCTAGGTATTATTAATTTTTCTTCAATGGTGTAGATGCACCAGGGGGAGGGGGAAATTAACCCTTCAGTGCCCTTCCTGAGAGGGAAGGAGGAACTTGGAAGCCTGAGTTCCTAATTTTGGCTGCCTGGTGAGGAGTCATGTGGAGGAAGTGGTCTCGGCTACAGCTAGTGAAGATGTCATAGGCATGGCTGTACAAGGCCATTTGCCAGTCCTGTGTGGGAAGGGATGCACCAAGCCTAGGTCTACTGCTCAAAGCAAACTTGAGGGAGAGGGAGAAGGGGCATTGCAACTGTGGCACCATGAGCCTGCTACTTAAGGAATTTGGGCACTGCCAAGTCTGAGACAGTTTCTGCCTGGCCAGCTGGTTGACTGCTCCTAGAGCCAAGGCAGAAGACAAAACAGAACAATGCCAGGCTGGTCATGGAGAAAAACCTCTTAGAAGCCAAATGGTCACTCTACCTAGGGAGTCTGAACTGCAGAGAGAAGTGCAATTGATCCACTGTGTCAAATGAGGAGGAGTAGAAACTGCCCGTGTCCCCTAGTGCAAAGTACTAAAATTTCCCAGGCCACTTTAAAACCCCCAATGGGATTTCCCTATCAACCTCTTTAAAAGAGGCCCTCTACCGTCATCTCTATTACCCCTATCCCTTTAGTCTCATCAACTGCTCCATCCCCAGAGGGTGTCACTCCCAGGGAGTGTTACTCGCCCTATCCCAGACACGTGAGCCGGTCCTCCCCGGCTCACTAGCTGCCCCCAGGCTTAGTACTCCGTCAGTTCACACAGGTTCCCCTGCTGTTCCTGTCACTATTATATCCCTCAAAAAAAAGGGGTGTAACAGCAAAGTACCTTTTCCAGTAGACTCTCAGTTTCCTCCTCAATGTTAATCCCGGTTTGGGGGGAGCGTCCACCGAACATCTTCCCTCAGTGCCTATATCTTTCCTGCTTCCATAGTGAGGGCTACTACACTGAAGGGGGAGCAGCAGGAGCCTGAGGTAGCCTTACTAGGTTGCTTCCTGTCCTACTAGCAGCCCTGTTGCTAGGGGATCACTGTTCTGTGCTTTGACTGATCATCTGTGATCTTATCAACTCTCAGGCCTAGTGTGGGATGATCTCCACAGCCACCCCTCCTCCAGTTATGCTGAAGGAGATGGCTGTCAGCAAATCCCTGGAAGGACAATGCAGGACAGCAAATAGGCAAACACATCCAAGCTGCCACCCCTCATCTTCTGGAAGTGAAGCTGTCAGTTGATATCCAATTTCAGTTGACAGGGGCCATTGTGATGTCACACACATCATAAACCCCTAACAAGAGGCTGGCTTTGGAAACATACAGTGCCATTACACTTCTATGAAACACAGTTGTACTTAGCTTTTTAGTTTATTCCATTTCCATCTGTTCATGACACCCTATATATACACCGCCCGCTCTCCTTTTCTGTATCTTGACTCCTCAGTTGAGTTGCCTGTTTCTATCTCACTGATTTTTGCTAGCTTACTTTCTAAGCAATGCATCTTTTCAGGCAGCTCTGCATAGCTAGTTCTCTTTCATGGTCCTGATAGAGCCTTTTTGTACCTCACTTTTAAATTTTAGGAAAATGTATCCATGCTTACCAGCAAATGTCCCTTATTCAAGTAATAAGGTCCACACATCTATTACAATGGGGTACTTCAGCCTGCTTGACAGCTGGGGATGGAACCAGGTCAGTCACTACCTCCCTCAGATTTCAAGGCCAGAAAGGTCTATTGTGATCATAGTCTGAGCTCCTGTATAACATGGACTACAGATAGGGTTGGCAACTTTTGACTCTCACAAAACTGAACATCCTTGCCCTGTCCCTTCTTTGAGGCCCCTCCCCCACTTACTCCATCCCCCATCCCTCTGGTGCTTGCTCTCCCCACCCTCACTTGCTCATTTTCATTGGGTTGGGGCAGGGATGCAGGTGGGTGAGGGCTCTGGTATGGAGCTAGGGATGAGGGATTTGGGGTGAAGGAGGGGGCTTCAGGCTAGGGGGGTGGAGTGCAGAAGGGGGCTCTAGGCTAGGATGGATAGGTTGGGGGGGGGAGAATCAGGGCTGGGGCAGGGGTGTGGGAGGGAGAGAGAGGAGTGCAGGCTCTAGGCACAGTCAGACAGCTCTGCACACTGCCCTGTGTGCATGTGCCACCCTCACAGCTCCCATTGGCTGTGGTTCTCAGCCAATGGGAGCTGCAGAGCAGCACTTGGGGTCCAGGCAGTATGCAGAGTCCCCTGGCTGCTCCTAAACCTAGGAGCCAGAAGAGGGTCATGCCACAGTTAGTCAATCAGTACCCTCAATAATTTAGTTCCTGGCCTTGTTTCAAGCTCTTTCAGGATATGTATATACTTTACACAACAGCCATTCATGGGTAAACTAAAAGCATGTAAATTAGCAGGAGAAATGATTACCTAAAACCAATGTAATGTTACACAAATCCAAGGCGTGGAATAGAAAGGAAAAAGGCACTTGATGTTGTTCCAAGACTATGTGGCAGGAGGAGAGCACAGAAAGCCACATCCACCTGCCTAGACGATGGTGTAAGTACTGAGTGAATGGGGCCCTCAGCTATTACTCCTACCCCTCTGGGATGAGAGGCCCTCTGCCATTACTGCTGTTCCAAATGAAAGATGTGATGCAGCTGAGAGTAGAGCTACATACATGGTGCCTTCAGTGTTGTGGTACATGTAGGGTTCAGGGTTCCATTAAATTAGTCCTTATCCAAGTGAAATAACTTTGTGTCCTGCTTATTGTAACATCTCAACTTTGCTAATGGCTACAATCCACAATCATGGCCAATCTGTAGAACAGGACTTCTCTTAATCTAAGGCCAGGTATTTCAAAAAGTTACTAAGTCTAAGTCTTAACCCTAAAGTATTTACAAGCACATGTGCTCTGGAGTTTCCTTTTGATAAAATTACTAGTCTCAAGATCTTTAGTACTGACAAAGTCCCATCAGTCGCAAGGAAAGCAAACAATTTTAATTAGGTCAACTACAGAGTCTTCCGTATGACAGCAGAAAGGCTTCAGATGGTGGGCAGGGAGTCAGACCATAGCAACCCGTTTTATTAAAGTTCCAGCCTTCCAGACAAAATACTGAAGAAAGTCACAGAACTACCTGGAATAGTTTCTCCAAATTTAGGATTAACATGATAAAAATGGCCACTTTCCCCAAGACACTAGTTCTCAGCATTCTTTACTAGTCATTTTAAACAAATATCTAATCCACTCAGCATGCAGATCATGATTTACTTGTAGAGGTTATTAATCTCATTGTAGAGTTGCCAGTCTAATACCATAAATAATACAAGGATACACAAACAATATGGGTAAATTGAAATTTTTTTTATTGGAAAACAAATATACAACTTGGAATGGATTTGAGGCAAATTGTGCCATAAGCAGATTCTTCTGAAAATAAGTGGCTAAACAAAGTTTAAAAAGCATAGTAATAGGAGAAAATGTTTTTTTCCGGTACAGGACCAGTAGTACAAAAAATAGTGTACGAGTACCTGGATAATACACCCGTTTTGCAATAGTGCAACTTTTAAGTTTCATATTGTTAACTATCAATAGTCCACGCAGAGTTAAGGCTCCACATTTCAACAACATGCTAAGTTTCCTAAAGAAAGCTACTTTAACAGGCATAACCCAGATGTTCCCACATTTGATCAACTCCAACTAACTTTAGATGTGCAGAAGGGCTTAAATATCCAGAGTAAGCCACATGCAACATTTGTTACTTTGATCAATTTTCCAAAAAATTATCAGAACAATGACAGTAAGATAAAGGGAGAAAAACATGGAGGAATGGAATTCTAATTACTATACATGCATATTCTTTTGACAGTAAGGGAAAAACCTTTTACAGATAAGTTACAAACAGAGAAGGCAAATAAACAATTTTGTACAAGAAATTTAACACATTCTGTACAATCTCTTCACTTTGCTGTCATCATTTGTACAAACTCTGCAAAGGAAAAGAAAGTTGTATTAGTATCTCACAAACTAAGTTCTTATGCAATTAGACTACAGGCTCTCAGAACAGAAAGGAATCTCCCTCTACACCAGTGGTTCCCAAAATGGGGTTTGTGAACCCCTGGGCGTTCATGAAATGTTGCAGGGGATTCTTGGGAAAAAATTCCCTAATGGTAGGCTGAGCTGTTCATTAGGACCCTGGGCCATACAGGGACAGCAGTCTGGAGCCTTCCAAGAGCTAAGCAGATCAAAGCAAGCAAATCTATCACACTGATGAGATTTAAACTTCAAGACTTCTTATATGAAATTGAAAGGGAGATGGATATTTTTTCCTGGTTTTAAAATTAAATAGGCTGCTAGTGTTTATAAATTATGAAGTTTAAGCTTTGTTGTAATGTGCATTGTTTGCCTGAACTGTTCAAGACCTGAATGCTTGTGTAGGAGGAACTCTGAGTTGGCTTCTTAAATACCTTGATGCTGTTTCACATAGATCTGATACTCCTAATCAATGTCTGAGATGTCTCTTGCAGGAAGGTGTTTGAAGTTAGGCTCTCTTCTCCAGCACTCTATTCCAGGAGAACCCTGTGACCTGCATATCAGCATATCATTTGCTGCAGTTTTAGTTCTAAACTTACTGGGGGTTGGCTTGTCCCACTAAACATAAGGACATTTGTGGTATTGAGTCCCACAGCGTTTTGGGGCCTTATCTTACACCTCATACCACAGTTAGGAAATATTTCTAGCAGGCCTCTAGAAGGCCATAATTAAGTCTTCAGGAGGTTTCTTTGACAGATCTTTAGCAAATGCTTAGCAGCTGCAGATATTTGTCTGCTTTGAAGAGACTTCCACTCTGTACAATACTATTGCCCTTTGTTTTACTATTTTACCCAACCAGCTTTGATTGGGCAAAGACCACATTACCAGTCACTTTCATAGGAGACTGATTGTTAACTGCCATGAAATACAAAATTGAAATAACTAGTTTATTGTGTTTGCACAGAAGAGGCTGCAATATGGACCAATGAAGCAGTTGACAGTTTAGGGGTGACTTGATAACAGTCTAAATATTTAGATCAAGAACCCATTAACTATTTTGCTTACCAATACAGCAAAGATATAACACTATCCAATGGCTGAAAGTTGAAGCTAGAGAAATTCATACTGTGCATTTTTGACAGTGAGGGTAATTAGCCATTGGAACAAATTCACCAAGGGTCTTGATGGAGAATCCATCACCGAATTTTTAAATCCAGACTGACTGCTTTTCCTAAAAATATGCTCTAGGAATTATTTTGAGGAATTTCTATGACATGTGTTACACAGGTCAGAATACACCACCACAATAGTCCCTCCTGACCTCAGAATCTATGAATCTTGGTCTCACTGACCTAGGGATGAGCATGCTGATGGGGTGAAGTTTGAGGGCAACTGGCATGCTCTTGGGTATTGACTAGCCACTGAGAAGCACAGGGAGAAGGAGCCACAAAGACTGCTGGAAGAAAGGGGACCTGCTCTCCCAAATGAGCAGCACACTTCTCTTGTTAGGAGAGGGAAGAATGGCAGGAGAGGTGGAACAGGTTATCAGTTCCTAATTGCATGTGCTTTCTTCATACTCTGGTCTAATTTCTCTGCTTCAGCTTCAAGGGAGGGGACTAGCCATTCATAAAGGGGAAGAAAAGGAAAGAAACCCAATTACTAAAAGAGAGCTCTCAGGGTCTAGATTTTATGTATATAGTGAAACATGATTTATTTGGTCCTGGCCATTAGAGTGTGCTTAATGTTAGCTGCCCTCTAAAAAATTGGCCTTTTTGCTTCAGGAAAAGTGGAACCTTTTCTGTGAAAAATAGTCCCTGTACTCTCTCTACATCTGAGACTAGTGCTAGACTTTGTCAAAATGGAAATAACTGGCTATATATAGGACTGATA